GGTAGGTGAGTACCTGCCTGTAATGAGGGGGCAAGATGTATCAGTGTGCTCTCTACTTTGTGGCATAATATTTCATGACCAAGCAAATCCACATGTGCTGGATCCTGCAGTTATGGTCTAAACGTATGTTCCCGAGAACGCTGTCTGTTGCTAAGGAAATTATCACCAAGTCACAACATTTCAGCATTTTGACTTCATTGCAGGATAAAAGCAGAAGGAAATGCTAGGCTGCAAAGGACAAAAACTCAGAAATATCTGTGATCATTAGCTAACATGACAAGAAAAATTCTTGGGGAAAGGAGATAGATTTATGTTTCAGCAAGATAAAACATGAATGTCACTTTTTAAAGTTGTTTTTTTTTTTGCTTCAAACCAGTCTCATTCTACCTCTGCTAGCAAAGGGTACATCATCTGCCAACTGCCTAAAATACCCCAAAGCTCTTTAATCATTAAAATGCATCACACAAATTATCCAAATATGGCTAGTTCAAGATTGTGGGGGATTAGAAAGAAGTGGGATTTATATGTCTTGTGGCCAAAAGCACATCATGCAACTGAAAGCGAGATAAAAAGATTTGGGGTCCTGATTTTCAATCTAGAGCTTTTCTTATAAAGGGGCACAATTTAATACTTACAGTGAACTGCAGACACAAATGCTACCATAAAATCATAGAATACTAGGACTGGAAGGGACCTCGAGAGGTCATCGAGTCCAGTCCCCTGTCCTCATGGCAGGATCAAATACCATCTAGACCATCCCTGATAGACATTTATCTAACCTACTCTTAAATATCTCCAGAGATGGGGATTCCACAACCTCCCTGGGCAATTTATTCCAGTGTTTGACCACCCTGACAGTTAGGAACTTTTTCCTAATGTCCAACCTAAACCTCCCTTGCTGCAGTTTAAGCCCGTTGCTTCTTGTTCTATCCTCAGAGGCCAAGATGAACAAGTTTTCTCCCTCCTCATGACACCCTTTTAGATATTTGAAAACTGCTATCATGTCCCCCCTCAAACTTCTCTTTTCTAAACTAAACAAACCCAGTTCCTTCAGCCTTCCCTCATAGATCATGTTCTTTAGACCTTTAATCATTCTAGTTGCTCTTCTCTAGACCCTCTCCAATTTTTCCACATCTTTTTTGAAATGCGGTGCCCAGAACTGGACACAATACTCCAACTGAGGCCTAACCAGCGCAGAGTAGAGCGGAAGAATGACTTCTCGTGTCTTGCTCACAACACACCTGTTAATGCATCCAGGTGGCGGTATCGTCAGTGTTTGTTTGCTCACACTATCTTTATTAAACTTCATCCTATCTATCTCAGACCATTTGTCCAGGTCATTTAGAATTATGACCCTATCCTCCAGATTAGTCGCAATCCCTCCCATCTTGGTATCATCTGCAAACTTAATAAGCGTACTTTCTATACCAATATCTAAATCGTTGATGAAGATATTGAATAGAGCCGGTCCCAAAACAGACCCCTGCGGAACCCCACTTGTTATGCCTTTCTAGCAGGATTGTGAACCATTAATAACTACTCTCTGAGTACAGTTATCCAGCCAGTTATGCACCCACCTTATAGTAGCCCCATCTAAGTGGTATTTACCTAGTTTATTGATAAGAATATCATGCGAGACCGTATCAAACGCCTTACTAAAGTCTAGGTATAGACTTTACATTACAGTCAGCAAGAAATTAAGATATCTAAATGGTTGCATTTACATTATCAAAAACTGAAACCAGGTTTGAAAATTAGGCCTTTTTCATGCAGTGAACTAAACCACATTCACAATAAAGTAAAATTAGGCCTGAACAGAACTAAACCACGTTCACAATAAAGTAAAATTAGGCCTGAACTTATGGTGAGAAGAATAAAGTAAAGCAACACTATCACTTGAATTATAACATTTTTAGTTTTACAAATTAGCAGTTGGTAGAGCAAAAACAAAAATCCCACTTTATCAGAGGCTGTTAAGACAAAGATGCTTGCCTGGTAAGTCACAGTTCTGACAGCGAAATACATCAACTTGGCACACTTGCCCAGAATCATTACCTAATTTTCATAATTATAACTTTCAGCAGTCAAAGTCATCACTGGTTCAAATCTACACAGATACTTGCTGATCAGGAGGGAGTCGTCTATCAGAAGTGACAAATCACCCTTGGCCACTTTGTGTGTGTTTATGCAAACACTATTGTTTAAACTAAATATTGCCTGAATTGGAGAGAGATATTTGGAAGCAGACTAGTAGCATTCTTTTAATTTACTCAAAAGCAAAGTTTTGAATTCTACAAAATACTGACCTTGCTATAAATTCTACAGTCAATTTTGCACTATTTACAGAGCTATTAAGCATTTTCCGGAACTAAAACTAGGCTATATATTAAATAAATTAATTTACTATAAAGGCTGAGATTTGCATTATGGGTCTGAATCGGTAAGCTCTTGATAGAGAAGTTTAAGGCTAGAAAGGGTGCCCATCTAGTGTTGAAGGGCTTCAACTGCAGGACATAGGCTAGCGAGTGAGAGAATTCTGCATGAATAGTCAAGTCACTCTAGGTTCTCTAGTACATTGCTTTTCCTTCATGGACATATATTAACGGGTCTGTATTTATCAAACCACTTTTACAGTGCCAGGAGGGCTTTAAACTTCTCCCTATGGAGAAAAAAAATCACAGTCAAGTCTAACAATAGCTAACAAACAATGGGATCCAACTGGATCCGACTCTTGATTAGTAGGATTAGCTCTGTCTAGTTTGGTATTTGGTGTGCTGGGATGTGGGCAGTCAAATGTCTTTTTCTCTTTTCCATGTCTGAGAGTGAGCTTTCCTCTTTCTCCTTTTTAGCTAGTAAGTGGAATAAGTGAAAGAGGAGAAATCGTTTGTTATTTATTAGTTATGCACATTCTTGGTGTACAGTACAAGAAAACAGCCTCTGCCCCAAAGAGCGTGTTACAGTTTTGGGGCCTACTCCTGCAACCACCTTTGTGCAGACTCTGTGCAGTGCTCATTGAAGAATTAGGGACTTAGCAGTGAATAGAAAGAAAACTGCATTTGGAAATCACAGAGATAAGTGTAATGTATCGAGTTTCTATTTTATTTTTCTATCAGGGCCTTAAGGAAGGTGATGGTTTTTGTTTTGTTTTTAAAGAAGCTAGGATGGAAAGAGTTGGATAGCCTGGTTTGGGAAACACATTCCTTTTCCCACTCTTTCACACATAAATCCACATTTTCTCTGATGGTTGGTGCTAATGTACTCCACACCTATGGTAGTCAAGAGGAGAGATGCTAAGGACACTCTGTATCCAGGCATGTGGGAAACGTGTTATACTCTCAGCATCAAACACTCAGTGAATCAGAATGCTAGACAGCAGCTGGCAGGAAACAGACCTTGATGTTCTTTGCAAGGATGTTAAATATTAGTTATTGAATAGTCAAGTAACCTCATGAATTCTTATCAGTTACTCAACTATTCTATAGTACCTCAGGGTGGGGCCAGCAGCCAGTGTGCTCCGGCCCCACTCCTGAGGAGCCCTCTGCCACTCCACATCCCTGTCTGGGGAGGAAGGGTGTCTGAGCTCTCAGACCCAGAATGAGCCAGAACTGAGCCAGGCTACCTGCCTGCCTGGCTCCTAATACACTTTAAATGCAGAGCTGAGGCAGGTCCCAGACCCATCACAGGCCATGACTGAGCCGGGCTGCTGGTCAGCCGGCTAAAAAATTTACTGGGGGGGAGGGGCTACACTATTACATCCCTAGCTGTTTGATGCTTTTTCAAAGGCGCTAACCTGGTTCTTTCCAAGACCATTCTCACAAGGCTACTCTGAAAAGGAGTGGATAGGAAGCACTCTCAAACACAGCAATATGACTTGTTCAACTTGATGAGTAAGCAAATGTTTTCAACTCATGTAGTCCAATAAATGTAATGTACAAATTATTGCAGTAGAGGAAACAATACATGATCATCTTGGAGATTCACATTTGCCATTTATACATTTCACTAATGATCAGACATAAATTCAGTTTACAGGCAGTCCCCGGATTACGTACAAGATAGGGACTATAGTTTTGTTCTTAAGTTGAATTTATATGCAAGTCGGAACGGGCTCCAGATTCAGCTGCTGCCACTGAAACTGACCAGGGGCTGACTACAGAAAGCCGGAGGCAGAGTTGCTCTGCCCCCAGCTTCCTGGAATCAGCCTGATCAGTTTCAACAGCTGATGAATCTGGAGCCTGGGACAGAACAGCTGGGGCACTGCCCGGTAGGTTCCCACAGGACCAACCTGGCAGCACCCCAGCTGCTGTACCCGAGGTGTTCTGCAACAAAAGCCTGGTCTGCTGGGGGGTCGCACTAGCTGCGCCCCCTCTCTCCCCCCAGCAGACCAGGGAGACCCGAGCAAAGCCACCCAGGCAGCGGGACCCCCGCCGCCTGGGCGGCTTTGCTCCTGTCCCCCTGGTCTGCTGGGGGGATCCAGCAAAGCCGCTGGACCCCCCCAGCAGACCAGGGACACCCGAGCAAAGCCGCCGCCTGGGCGGCTTTGCTC